TCAGGTTTTCCCTCTGCACAAGTATTCTTAAGGATTTGAGTTTCTTGAGAGGTTGAAGTCAAGAGCACAAATTACACTCCAAAGAAAAGAGACAAAAATATCAGCATCTCTCTCCTGTACTGACTTTCATTAACACATCACACAACTCTCTCAGGTCTCCCTCCCACCAAATTAGGAAATGATGCTGGGAAGTCACTTCAGCCCCACAGAGCCACAAGGAGTCCTGGTGTCCCCCAGGGCAGAGGAACTCGCAGCCCACGTTACACTGCCTGGCTGCAGGGCTCTCCCATGAGATTTCTTTATTAGTATTTTAACTTCTATTTCAGGCTGTGGTATGCTTAAAATGTCTTTGTGGTTTACTCCAACTTCCTCAGCTTTTTTTTTTTTTTAAATGATCAGATTGAAAGCTTAACCAGCCGAGAGGGAAAAAAAGCTCAAGGTAAGAAGTCAGAACATCCATAGAAATCCAAATTAGACAGCAACAAAAAAAGAATTCCCAGAAGAGTTTCTCCAGTATACAATTGAACTCCCCGTTCATGTATTGGTACATGCTGAAGTGTGGCTGTGTGACTACATACATCAGCACATGGAGCCTTCCCGTGAGGATGTGTGCTGCACCTTGTTTTTAGCATCAGGGTGCATTTTCTCCAGGCATAGATCACGTAGCTCCCTCAATTTGAATGGACCTGCAAGATGGTTGTCTAATTCAGGTCTAAAACATGGCTTGCTTTTTAAAAGATCCAAGTACTGCTACCTGAACACAGAAAGTCCATGTGGAATGCATTATATTTGGTGATAACCCTTTGAAGTCTTGCAAACTGAGATAATTTTTAGATAAACTAACTCAAATTATTTCAGTAAACAACAATTAGTTTGCCATGTCATCCTCCAACTGCAGGAGAGACCGGAAGGAGCTGCTGGAGCTATATAGAAGATCACTGCTCTGCCTGAACAACTGGAGCAAATGCAATGCTGCCCCAGGCCAGCCTCACCGCTCCAGCAACAACAATGCCAGGTTTTGTTCCCTTGCTGCCAGGCAGCCCTCTGTTCCGGCCAGTGGAAGAATTGAGCATTGTGGAGCAGATCCTCAGCTGATACAGTGAGGTGGCATTTCATTGAAGCCATGGCCAGCCGATACCAGCTGAGGAGCTAACTCCTGATCCGCAACAGCTGAGGAGGAACAAAGGGGGCAGGGAAAAGCTTTCTGCTTCATGGTCCCAACATAATTAATGAGTTCTCTGCCTTCAACAGGTCCCTCAGCAACACCTGGGGTCACACAGAACATCTGAATCCCAACCTACAGAATGGAAACACCCCAAGCTGAGGCTGGAATCTGCAATCCTTTGAGGCTAGCAGTGCATTTCCAGGACAGGCTGCACTTTGCCCAGCAGCTCTGCTGAGAAGAGGGAAAGCCTCCTCTGAGCACTACTGAGCTCCAGCTCACAGCTCAGTGCATTTCCAGTCAACCACAATGGGAAGGAAGGATTGCATCACTTCAGGCTTTGGGAAGAGACTGGTCAAAGAATGGACCAAAGGCATCATCTAACTCACAAAACCCTGGGCTGGAAGGCAATCCAAGGAACTTAAAAGAGACAGACCTACATGGTTGTTTCAACACATCGCACTGCTTTAAACAAGTACTGCTGATCTTTCACACGTCAATGAGAAGCAGACTGAAACAGCACTGACAGCCTTGCCTTCTGTTTGGGAGGCAGAGCAGGTGTAATTCTCAGCAATAAAGGTGACTTTCACAGTGTGGGAGGTTAACACACAGGAAACCCCATTTTCCCATTCGATGGAACAACAAAACCACATCAACAGAAGCTACGCAGCCAGGCCTGCCTTGTGGTCTGTCCTGCTGCACTCAGATTTTACATCAGGCCGTAAGCAGTTATAACACAAAATAGCCAGGTCTGTTTACTCAGCCCAAAGCACGCTTCACTTATTTACCTGAATGCTTTATCACACACACTGACCATTGTCGCTGCTCAGTGAGGTGAGCAGGCAAAGTGGGGGGAAAACCAACGCTGGCACAAATCTCCCCAGCAGAAAAAGCTATTAATTTGTGCACAAAACAATGAAGGAATGCCAGGATGTGACTACTGCCCCTGAATTCTTGATTGTATTGTTAAATAAAAGCAACACATTTTTGCATGTTCTGCCTTTAAGTGCTAATTTGAAACATCAGAAAAAGCACATTAGGTCCAAAGCAATCCTGGCTTGTGGTTGTAGTGGTTTAATGTCACATTTCCAACAGCATTCACATCCTTTAAAGAAAGTGAAGAAAGAGCATTTTAATTCAATAGTCGAAAGAGGAAAAAGTGGATGGCAAGGAACTCGATTTTATTGAAATTATTAATATGAGCTGCATGCAATAATTTCTTAATTGAATATTATGACATTGAGAAGTTATTTCCTTGTTAACACAGCATTGCTCTTACAGGAGTAACACTGGTCCAACTCGGCACAGCAGTAATGAAAAGCTGTTGGCCACATGCAGAACTCCATTTGAAGGCCATACAGGTACAGAGGAATATTTACATTTTCATTACTCAATCTGGGATCTCAGGAGGTAAAACAGTAAGTAAACAAGTTCTGAAACCATCCGAACCACGCAGCGTCAAAGGCCCTACCTCTCTGCATCTATCAGTTCTGTGGGTAAAAGCCGATTTGAACAAGGTTCAACACCAGTCCACATTTTCCAGTTACCAAAAAAATCGGTATTTTCCCCCCACCAGCTCCAAGTTGGAAAGGCAAACATTTGATTGCCAGTTACCTCCCCTGCCTTCAAACGCTGCACTTATGCTGGAGCAAAGATGCCAAGGCACAGAGATAGGGCTCAAATCCAACCATTCCTTGCTGGGGCTCCAGCACCAAAGCGCTCTTGCACTACGCTCACACTTGCTCACAGCAAGCAATGGGATGCTCCTGGGAGGCTGCCCCAGCCCTGCTTTGCTCAACCTCTCTGGCTCTGCCCTAGCCCTGCCTGCTCCTTTTGCTCTTGTGCTGTCTCATCTCCCATCTGGGCTGACCTGCAGCCCAGCTCCTGACTGCACTCAGGCCTCACCCTTCAGCTCCGTACAGCCACAGCCTGTGCCTTCTTGGTCACAGGTCACCTCAGCCCTCCCAGCAGATATTCAGGTTCACAGCATGTCCCAAACTCCAAGCTGCTCACCAGCCTTGGAGGACCTCCAAAAGGAACACGAACACAAGGTTACCACTTGCTCTGTTCTCCTAAAGTGCTATTTACAGAATTAAGAAGAGTCTCTTCACTCATCAGTGTGGTCACCTGTGAAATGAAGCATTTGTAGATACTGAAATCAAGAAAAATAATTACCTGATGTTTTTCTCCCCCTTTAAAGTCTCCCACAGCATTGACTAAGAAGACCAATGGAAAATTTGATCCTGGTAACAGCATCTGCTCATCCCTGCTGGGAAAGTCCAGAGCTTGAAAGATACTGAGGAAAAAAAATGTAAGGAAGAAACACCCACAGACTGACAATGGGAATGGAGAACTCCAGGAGGCAGCCCATGTTAACCAGTGCATAGTAAATCCCAGAGCTCACAGGATGCCAGAAAGGCCAGGACCACAGGTGAACAACATCTCTTAAAGCAATTAGGTGCAGGTGAGTAGAGTCATAACTCTATTGCAGATCCTCAGAGGAGATTCTCCAGCTGGTGTTGCTTGCTATTTCAACACCTTGACTAGCATATGGGTGCTGTCTACACTATAAAAAGAGTCACTCAAAGAAGCAAATGTTGCAAAAGAGCAAAAGCTCTTCTGAAAGCCACCAAAGAAATTGAAAGCAGTGTAAAGAATTAAGCAGCTCTCCTTCACGTGCATCTCCAGGAAGCTTCAGTCCTGGCAAAACCAATCCACAATGTCCAGCTGCAGAGTGAATACATGCAAGCAGCCTCCAACCCCCACACAGACCTGTACTGCTTGAAAGGAACAAAAGGACCAAGAAGTCAGAACAGGATTCAGTCCATAAGTAGATACGATCTAGATAAAACCATACTTAATAACTAGTATTCACAAAAGGTCCTTCTGATGAGAACAACAAGCAATTTCAAGGAATCATTTACCTGCTCATGATACTGTGCTTCTATTTCACCTTTCAAAAGCCATGTAATTACTTGCCTTTAATTTTCTGTATTAGACATTAAAGCCAATCTCACTTCCCTTACATAACTCTGGAACACACAGTTATGATATGCCTAATGCAGCATTTTGTTTCTGCAAAATACCACATGTATTCAAACAACTTCAACTTTTCACATCTCAGTGCTTTTCCACCTGCCAGGTGCCTGCTAAGCCACGTCCCCTCAGGCCAGAGGGGGAGAATGCTACAAATACAGCCCATACCCCATCAACCCTTCTGGGCCACCCAAAGGGAATAACACACTGCACCCTCCTACCTCACAGAGACCCCAAAGAGTTCCAAGCAACTTGCTCAGAACCTCCTAGAGCAAACCATAGGAAAGGGAACACGCTTGAACCATGACTTGCACTCACCTCCTCTGGAGCACCACCTCTGCCTGCTCTCCTCCATCACAGCCATAACAGCTCCTAACCCCCAGCTGCCTGCTTTTGTCTTCCTGGCCTTGATGGCTAATGCAGCACAGCTGGTGGCCCAAAGGAGAGCACGCCAAGCTGAGCAGGAGAAAGCCTATAGCCAGTGGTAGGCAGAAAATTGTAACCAAGTGCTCTTGTTCATGTAATTCCTGATGAACCTCCCTTGCATATCACACTCCTTCCAGAAGAGGTGTGTTACTCAGTTGAAATCAAGCTGTGTGTTTTTCCCGGAGGACCTAAAATGCTAACTTCCTAATCTAGGTTAAATAAGTTGGGTTTCAGCTTTCTGCATGGAAAAGCAGTTAACTTACAGCCCAAACTACTCTGCCAACCATACCTGTGTGTTACTGAGCAGCAGTGGAAGGCAAAAGCACATGATGACAGTTTGTGATCATCCTCATAGCTGCCCTTTAGCTGAGCTTACCTTGGTGAAAACACAGAAGAAGATGGAAGCGTTGCTTCTGGTTCCACAACGGGGATTTCTGCTGTCATCAGGCACACGTATATTGAGGAGTCCTGGGTGACACAATGGATATCAAAGCACTGTCTCTGAACCTGGGTACCAAAATGGCCCTCAAGACAGCAAGTAGGTCTTGCTCCTCACAAAGGCACGCGTACATAGGGTGATGGCCTTGTCCAACCTTTGTTTCCTGGTCTTTTTTTTTTTTTTCTTTTTGCCCCTTAGAGAAGCTGTGAGTTCCCTTCTGCAGAGCGGAGTGCTGCTGTCAGCACATGGATGTGTTCCAGGGGAGCACAGTGTGCCCTGCAGGAGCTCCCAGTGAGGGAATGGTGCTTGATGGATGCTCAGGTAAAAAATACTTCTGAAGGGGGGAAGGCAATATTTAATGTTGGTTAATCCTGAGAAAAACGAGCCATCCCAATCAGCTTTGAGAGGATTGTGTGTAAAGAATTTCACTCAGAGGGTGGTGATGCACTGGTGATGTCCAAGGAGGCTGTGGATGCCCCGTCCTTGGAGGCATTCAAGGCCAGGCTGGATGTGGCTCTGGGCAGCCTGGTCTGCTGGTTGGCAACCTGCACACAGCAGGGGGTTGGAACTGGATGAGCACTGTGCTCCTTTGCAACCCAGGCCATTCCATTATTCCATGTAAAGGTGGTGGTGGCTGGGCAGAAGCACGTACCTTTATCTCTCCTGCTGCAGCCCCACATAATGTTATTGAGCCTCGCTAAGGAGCACAGGTGCCTCGTGCCACACACAAAGCCAGCAGCCCGGAGCACACCCGACCACCCGCTCACCCCACGCCGGCCGCAGCGAACCATCCCTTCCTCCAGCACCCACTCCCACCACCCGCCGGGCGCTGCCCTGGGGCCAGCAGCATCAGCAGGCAGAGAGCAGATTACCTCGGGATTATCACAACCCACGGGACGAGGGATTACAAAAAAACCGCCGGTCCTGAGGAAGCAGCGCGCGGCGCTCCGCCCTGACTTTGCTACGGCGCGAGGGGAGCCGCGTGCCGCCCTGCAGCCCCGGCAATGACGGAGCACAACCGGCGCCCCCAGCACAGCCCGCAGCACTTCGCGTGCAACACTTTGCAACGTTATTGCAGATTCCCCTCTCAGCCACCGCTCGGTTACTGTATTCTTCTGCTTCTTCTTCTTTTTTTTTTTTTTTAATTAATATATTTTTATTTTTTTTAATTTTACTTTGCAAACCTTTGTGGAACAGACGCCCTCTCCTTGCTCCGGTTGGAGCTGCAGTAGAATGAAAGGGGGGGTGGGGGTGGGAAGGAGGGAGGAGAGGAGGAGAAAAAAATAAAACACTTTTGGTTGAGGTTTTCCTGTTACTATCACTGTAGCGTTTATTTAGCCAATCTCCTAACTGTGACGTGAGGAAGGCAGGAATCATGGCTCGCTCATAATATTTAACACACCCACTGGAAGCTGGAGCTGCAGAGCTACCCGTCCAACCCGTCTCCAGAACCCAGTGTGGCTGAAAGAGGTTTCCACTCTTGCACCTGCCAAGCAGCTCTCCCCCTCTCCCCCTTCCCCCCCCCCTTCCCTTCCTCTCTTCCTTTCTCTAAAGGCAGATCTGTAGGACCCAGCAGAGATCAAAGCCGGGACCTCTTTGCTATAAAGAACCGCTACCGAATTCTATTAGTTTCTTTCCTCTAATCC